GGAGAGGGCGGAGGAGAGAGGGCGAAGAAGGTTGGGCGGAGGAGGAGAGGGAGGGGGATGAGGAGGAGTCCCTCCGCACGCGCGCGGCGACAGGGCGCCCCGCCACCGGATTGGACGCGGACGCTGCGGCCGCCGCGGGCGCCGAGGAGTCGGGCTCCAGCAGCGAGGGCGAGGACGAGGAGGCCTCGCGGTGGAGCGGCGGCGGCGGCGGCAGCAGCGGGACCTGGAAGGCGCTGGCGGCGGCAGCGGCGGGAGGACGAGTGGGGGGGGGGGGGGAAGGGGGGAGGAGGAGGGACAGGGAGGGAGGAGGAGGAGGAGGAGAAGGAGGACCAGTGTAAACCCAAGGGCCATTAACAATGTTGGAATAAACCCTCCCTCCAAGATCCCTCTTCATAGGCCCCTTCAACGGCTCAGCTCCACTGAGGGAGCTGCCTCGTTGGAAGACAACCGTTTGAAAACCCTCAGCATGCCAAACCATTATTCTCGGGACTCCAACGCCACGGATCAACCTGACTGTTGCGTCTTGACGATCTTGAGTCGTGCCAGAACGCCACTCCTGGGACTTCAACACAGCGAATCAACGTAACTGTTGCGCCCTCATGGTCCTGAACCTCTCCTAAACACCATGTCTGGTAATCTGATCATGTGAATCCGTGAAGCTTCTGTTTTTTGTTTAAAGTGCGCGGCGCTAAGGCGAGAGCCACATTTTAAAACGAATCGCCCTCAGTCCGTGAAGGTCTTGCAAATGTTAAAACCGAATGTGCGCGGCGAAAGGGTGAGAGCCACATTGTGCCCACAAAAGATACCAGGTATACTTGACTACCCCCGCGTGTTTAGGCGTCGCTTTTACCCCGAACGCCCACAAAAGATACCAGGTGGAGTTCACGTTCCGCGCGAGTTCAAAACTTGTTGGAGGATGTATCGAGCGAAATGCTTTGCTTTTGTTTAAAAACTGTTGACAACCCATCGGTTTGTTTTTAATAATTTCGCCTTCGAGGACCCGTCCGAAGGCAATTGTTGGAGGATGTCTCGAGCGAAACGTTGATTGTTCAACGAAAGTGTTAAAAACACGTGGGTTGTGCAATAATTTCGCTTCTTGGGCCATTTTGGAAGTCATCCGAGATCGCTCCGAAAAGATGCCTTACAAGAGCTCTGTCGGCATCCCATTTGTTCGAGGATGTCTTAGGCGAAACGCCCATTTTCGAGGATCCGAAAATTAGGCGAGCGATTTCAAGATCTCCATGTTGGGAGGATGTCTCGGGCGAAACGCGCTGGTAAGGGCGGCCCCCGCTATGCTGCACGATGCTTATCCTGCACATGATGTGTTGCGCCGTTTGAAAATCACTGCTCGCCGCCAGCCCTAGGCCAGAGGGTCGCGGGCTGATGTGCGGGCATCCCACCAGTGGGTGGTAAGCTTCGTATGTTGCGCCCGTGGACGCGCACACGCGCGCGCCGACCTTGCGGTTGGCTCTGTGAATGCTCGCGAGACCTCAGTGTTGGGTTTGTTTTTTGTTTATATATACACAAATATGTATAAATACTTATATATACAAGTATATGTATAAGTATATATATATACACAAAACACACACACACACACACACACAAACAAACAAAAAAAAAAAAAAAAAAAAAAAAAAACGTAGACTCGCAGAGTCGCGCGATGGACGTTGGTGCGGGCCCGGAGGGGTATCTTTTCAACTGGGGGGAGTATGAGGGGGGAAGGGTTCGGGGTTGCTCCTCCATTTTGAACTAGCGCATGACGGGAAGCCCGCGTAGACTCGAAGAGTCGCGTGATGGACGTTGGCGCGGGCCCGGAGGGAAATATTTTTGGGGGGGAGTTTGGGGGGGGGAAGGGCTCGGGGTTGCTCCTCCATTTTGGCATGGCGGAGGACGGGAAGCGCGCTCAGACTCGAAGAGTCGCGCGATGGACATGGCTCCTCGGCCCGGAGGGGGAATTTTTATCAAGTGGAGGGGTCCGGGGGAGGAGTGGTGGCGGGTCGGGCCTTGAACGGGACGTGGCGGATGACGGGAAGCGCGCCAAGACTCGAAGAATCGCGCGATGGACATTGGTTATCGGCCCGGAGGGAAATCTCTTACCAAAGGTTTCCTTAAACACGTGTCCCGCGAACCTGGCGGATGACGGGAAGCGCGCTAAGACTCGAAGAGTCGCGCGATGGACGCTCTCTCGGCCAGAGGCAGTATCACCGGGGGGGGTCTGGGGAGGGAACGCTCGGGAGCGCCTCGGGGTGCAGGACGTGGCGGATGACGGGAAGCGCGCTAAGACTCGAAGAGTCGCGCGATGGACGCCCTTGTGCCCAGAGGGATCTTTTTATCAACTGGGGGGGGTCTGGGGGGGGAACGCTCGGGAGCGCCTCGGGGTGCAGGACGTGGCGGATGACGGGAAGCGCGCTAAGACTCGAAGAGTCGCGCGATGGACGCTGTCTCGGCCAGAGGCAGTATCAACTGGGGGGGGTCTGGGTGGGGAACGCGCGGGAGGCACTCGTGGTCGGGGACGTGGCGGATGACGGAAAGCGCGCTAAGACTCGAAGAGTCGCGCGATGGACGTCTGTGTGCCCAGAGGGATCTTTTTATCAACTGGGGGGGTCTGGGGGGGGAACGCGCGGGAGGCACTCGTGATCGAGGACCTGGCGGATTACGGGAAGCGCCTTCTCGGAACGAGAAGGTGCTGGCAGTTTGTTAGGCCAAGCTTTCTAAGAATAAACAAAGAACTAAGACTCGAGGGACCATGGCCGCCTGATTACGGGAAGCGCCTTCTCGGAACGAGAAGGTGCTGGCAGTTTGTTAGGCCAAGGTTTCTAAGAATAAACAAAGAACTAAGACGCGAGGGACCATGGCCGCCTGATGACGGGAAGCGCGCTATGTTTCGAAGAGTCGCGCGATGGACGTTTGTTGGCCAGAGGCATTCTTTGTAAAGGGGGGGGTCTGGGGGGGGAACGCTCGGGATCGCTCCGCAGTTCTTTGTGCGCGCGTTTCGCGCGGCTGCAGTCACCCGCCACTTGGATTTACTGCTGCCTGCTCATTTCTCATTATCATGCTTCTCTGGTCGGTTTTAAGAAAAAATTGCCCAAGAAGCTAAACTATTGAAAAACCATGTGTTTTTAAACACTGTCGTTGAAAAATCAGCGTTTCGCTCGAGACATTCTCCAACAATTCCCTTCGGACGGGTCCTCGAAGGCGAAAGTATTGAAAAACCGATGGGTGTTCAATAGTTTTGTTAAAAACAGAGCGTTTCGCTCGAGACATCCTCCAACAAGTTTTGAACTCGCGCGGAAAGTGAACTCCACCTGATATCTTTTGTGGGCGTTCGGGGTAAGAGCGACGTCTAAACTCGCGCGGGTAGTGAACTCTACCTGGTGTCCTTTGTGGACGTTCGCGGTGAGCGGTGACTGAAGTTGCGCGGATTGTGAATTCCATGTAGTTTCTTTTGTGGACGTTCGGAGCGAGCGGCACGTCGGAATTTGCGCGGATCGTGAACTCAATCTGGTTATGTTTGCGGACGTTTGGGGTCAGCGGCACGTCTGAACCGGCGCGGATAGCGAAGTCCACTTGGTACCCCCTGTTGACGTTCGGGAAGAGCGCTTACGCGACATGCGAATTTGATGTTGGTGCACATTCTTGCCAAGCTCTTTGATTTCACGCGCTTCCCGTTCATGTCAAGAAAGGTTCCCCGAAACAGCGATTTCGCTAGAGACATCCTCCGACAATGGAGATGTTGGAGGCTATCGTTTAAGACGTTTTCTGTTAGAAATGACGTGTTCGCTCGAGACATCCTCAGAAAATCGGGTGCCGAAAAATGTCAAGGATTTTGTGGTGCCGAGACACCCTCGACAGACTGATATGTTGGAAAAGCTGTTATATTACCTGTCATATAAAAATGGCGCGTTCGGGAAGGGCGCGGCAGACCGAAAAAAGAAGCACTGCAGGAAATGATCATTTCGCTGGGGACCTCCTCAAACAATGAAATGTTCGCAACATCGCCTCGACATCGTTCTCGAAGTGCTTCAAGATGAAGATATAAGAGCCCCAAAAGGAGCCCAAGATGGCTCCAACAGCGCCCTGGAGACTGCCGACAATGACGATTTCGCTGGGGACATCCTCAAAAAATGAATAAGTGCAACAACATCGTTTTGAAAACTGTTGTTCTAACATCGTCTTGGAATCGTTCCTGAAAACGGCTCCTAGATGGTCTAAGCCAGCCTTCTAAAAATAACGATTTCGCTAGGGACACCCTCAAACAATTAATGTGTCTAACATCGCACTGTAATGATTTTGGAGGGCATCAAGACGGCCTCAAAGGGCCCCACACGAGCCCCAATATGACCCCCAGGATCGCCCTCGAGACGACCCCAAAATGTGAGTTCGCCTGAGACATCCTCATACATTGATATGTTCTTAACATCAATTTGATCAACAATAAGCGTGTCGCCTGAGACATCCCCCAACAATGGGAAGTCGCGACTTTGACAGATGTTAAAAACTGGTGCGTCACCGGAGGCATCCTCACAAAAATGATATGTTGGAGACGCGGCTTTACTACCTCTCATGTTAAGCATGGCGCTCTCGCTGCAGACATCCTTAGAACATCGGGCGGAGCACGGCGGACAAAAAAACCAGAGCACGGCAGAGAATGAGTATTTCTGCCGTGCTCCTTCGTTTTCGGGGTATATCTGTTGTGCTCCTCAGCGCTTGGGGTATATTCTGCCGTGCTCCTGGTCTTCTTCTGCCGTACTCTTTCGCTTGTGGGGCCTGTTCTGCCGTGGTCCTGGTCTTTTTTTGTCGTCCTCCTCAGCTCTTGGGGTCTACTCTGCCGCGCTCCTGGTCTTTGTCTGCCGTTCTCCTTCGCTCTTGGGGCCTATTCTGCCGTTCTCCTTAGCTCTTAGGGTTTCTTCTGCCGTGTTCCTGGTCGTTGTTTGCCTTGCTCCTTCGCTCTTGGGGCCTATTCTGCCGTGCTCCTTCGCTCTTGGGGTCTATTCTGCCCTGCTCCTGGTTTTTTTTCTGCCGTGCTCCTTCGCTCATGGGGCCTGTTCTGCCGTGCTCCTGGTTTTGTTTCTGCCGTGCTCCTTCGCACTTCGGGTCTATTCTGCCGTACTCCTTTGCTCTTGGGGTCTATTCTGCCGTGTTCCTGGTTTTTTTTTGCCCTTCTCCTTCGCTCTTGGGGCCTATTCTGCCGTGCTCCAGATCTTTTCCTGCCGTGCGCGCCCAGAAGCTCCACCAAAACAACCACCGCGACGTTCCGCACGGCAGAACACAGAAGCACGGCAGAACACAGAGCACACAGAGGCACGGCAAAACACAGAAGCATGGCAGAACAGGAGCACGGCAGAACACACAGGAGCACAGCAAAACACACCCCGCACGCACGCCGACACGCGCGCCACGGCATACCTGCGCGGCGTAACAACAACAGAGCACATTCCACATGCTTGGTGGACTAAAGCGACGCTTCCCGTTCTTGTCCGGTCAGGTTCCCCAAAACAGCGATGTCGCTCGAGACATCCTCCGAACATGGAGATGTTGGAGGCTATCGTTTAAGACGGTTTCTGTTAAACATGACGTTTTCGCTCGAGACATCTTCAGAAAATCGGGATGCCAGAAAATGTCAAGGATTGTGTTGTGCATGAAAAATGAAATCGCCCGAGATCGACAAAATGACATGTTGGAAACAGCTGTGTTACTACCTCTCATTTAAAAAATCGCGCTTTCGCTCGGGACATCCTCGGAAACTCGGGAGGGGCGCGGCAGACCGACAAAAAGGAGCACGGCAGAAAATGATCATTTCGCTGGGGACATCCTCAAAACATCAGATGTTCGCAACATCGCCTCGACATCGGTCTCGAAGTGTCAATCTGAAGAAATATGAGCCCCAAAAGGAGCCCAAGATGGCTCCAACAGCGCCCTGGAGACTACCGAACATGACGATTCATCTGGTCGTTCTGCCGTGCTCCTGGTCTTTTTCTGGTTTGCTCCTTCGCTCTTGGGGCCTATTCTGCCGTGTTCCTTAGCTCTTGGGGTCTATTCTGTTGTGCTCCTGGTCTTTTTCTGCCGTGCTCCTTCGCTCTTGGGGCCTCTTCTGCCGTGCTCCTGGTCATTTTCTGCAGTGCTCCTTAGCGTTTGGGGTCTATTCTGCTGTGCTCCTGGTCTTTCTCTGCCTTGCTCCTTCGCTCTTGGGGCATATTCAGCCCTGCTCCTTAGCTCTTGGGGTCTATTCTGCCGTGTTCCTGGTCTTTTCCTGCCGTGCTCCTTTGCTCTTGGGGCCTCTTCTGCCGTGCTCCTGGTCTTTTTCTGCCTGCTCCTTAAAGGCTCTTGGGGTCTCTTCTGCTGTGCTCCTGGTCTTTTTCTCCCGTGCTCCTTCGCTTTTGGGGTCTGTTCTGCCGTACTTCTTTGCCCTTGGGGTCTATTATGCCGTTTTCCTGGGTTTTTTTTGCCCTGCTCCTTCGCTCTTGGGGCCTATTCTGCCGTGCTCCTGATCTTTTTCTGCCGTGCACGCCCATAAGCTCCGCCGAAACGACCACCGCGACGATCCGCACGGCAGAACACGGGAGCACGGCAGAACACACAGAGCACACAGAGGCATGGCAGAACACAGAAGACAGGCAGAACAGGAGCACGGCAGAACACACAGGAGCACAGCAACACACACTCCGCACGCACGCCGACACGCGCGCCACGGCATACCTGCGCGGCGTAACAACAACAGAGCATATTCCACATGCTTGGTGGACTAAAGCGACGCTTCCCGTTCTTGTCCGGTCAGGTTTTCGCGTCATCGCGTTTAACAAAACAAGCGTTGTGTAAATACATCACTGGAGAGTTGATCGCTGCGAAATTCACTAATATGTAAAATGTTGCGTTTCGCCTGAAACATCCTGGCCCAAATGAGGTGTCGACGGAGGTGTATGACTACCTCTTATGTTGAAAACTACGTTTTCGCTAGAGACGTCCTCAGGAAATGAGCGGCAGCACGGCGGACCAGAAAAAAGAGCACGGCAGACAATTTGCAATTCGTCGGGGACATCTTCAACAAGATGAGATGTTATCAACATCGTCTTGACATCGTTCTTGAAGTGCTTCAAGATGAGGAAATGAGAGCCCAAAAGGGACCCAAAGACGGCTCCAAGAGCGCCCTGAAGATTGCCGAACATGACGATTCCGCTGGGGACAACCTCAAGCAATGAAGAAATACAGTAGCATCAGCACGGCAGAACACGCAGGTGCACGGCAGAACACACAGAACACACAGAAGCACGGCAGAACACACAGGAGCACGGCTCCGTAGCCATATTGGTTCAAGACAATGCGTCACCCGACGGCCGCGAGTCCGAGAGGGCGTTCTGAGCGCGAGGGGTCGCGCTGTGAGCCAACTTCTCGGCGAACAACGATTTGTTTCAGGGCCGCTCTGGCCATCGTTGCTTTCTGGGGAACTGCACCGTGTGGGCCCCGCACACCAGCAGTACGAGAACAGTAATGGCGCCTGTGGCCCGCAGGGATCAGCAACGCACGAAGTGATGTTGTAAATGGTGTACAGGGCGGAATGGTAAGCCGTTCATCAATGTTCCTGACAAGTTGGCCTGCCGTGCTTGTGGGATCGCAAAGGCGACGGCGTTTGTGCAAACTGGAGTCTGCGACAGGTGATTTTGTCACTCGTGCCCCGCGCAAGTCAGGCAAGTCAGGCGGCCCTAGCAGTTGGGGCAAGGGGGGGCAAGCCTGGCGGCGGCAGCACCACGCCCATGGAGCAGCAGCTGCTGGCAATGCACAAGCAGGTGGGGCGAGAGCTTAAAGAAGCCAAGGAGAAGCCCATGGCGGCCGATGCTGACGTGGACATGGAGGCCGACGTGGCTGCAAGCACTAAGGCGCGCATTGCGGAGCTGGACGGGCACATTGAGCACCTGGGGAAGACGAAGCCGACGCCGAAGGTGGTGGAAGAGCTCGTCGCCCAGTACAAGCAGGAGCGGGACAAGCTCAAGGGAGAGCTGTTCGAGGCGAAGCCCGCCCTCGTCAAGCTCAATGCCCTGTCCAAGCGCATGGCGCAGCTGGAGAATCAGCAGGTCCGTTGGCAGCGCACGGTCGATGAGAAGAAGGCTGCCATTGAGAAGCTCCAGCAGGAGGTGGAAGAGGGTGAGCGCGCCATCGAACAGACGCGCGCACAGTTGCTGGCCGTCACGACCGAACGAGCTCAGATCTGCAACACCCTGCCTTCATCAGTGGAACGCCCTCCTGTGGCTGATGCTGCTGGCAATGGGCGGTGGACGATCACTGCAATGGTGGAGGTGCTTCAAGGCATGGGGCTGGAGGCTCCTGTGCAAGAGAAGTTCCTTGGCGTGGTGGAGGAAATCCAGCAAGCGGAGCGAGCCGAGGCTGAGGCCAGACCGCCACCGCCAGCAGCAGCTCCAGCAGCTGACATTGGTCCCGCCCAGTCGAGACCCAAGGACGAGCCGTTCGAGGAGGCGGAGCTGGTCGACGCTACCACGGAGGAGCCCAAGGCGCACTTGGAGGCCGTCGGTCTGGGCCAGCTGGCTGGTGGCTTTGGTGATGATGCGGGTCCACGAGATGCGGTCAAGCGATGCATCCAGGCACCCACATGGACGTAAGTCAAGCGCAGGCGTAAGGACGCACAGGCAGGCGCTGGAGGCGCCACAGCACGCTAAGATGGTGATGATGTCCGACATGTCTGACGCCAGGGCTCGTGGTTGCGAGCCATTGGACAGCGAGGACCACGGCAGTGGGATGGTCGAGGCCCTCGCACACGCTTTTCCACTTGGCGGCTTGGGCGAGATTCCCGACGCTGGAGACGTCACTCGCCCAGTAAGTCCGAGCGAAGCCCACGATTCTGACCAGGACGTGGCCCCCGCAGGCGAGGCCCATTGCGGTGGGGTGGTCGAGGCCCTCGCCCATGCACCTCCCCATGGCGGCTTGGGCAGGAGCTGCGAAGCTCGCAACGGAGCCTGCCCAGCAAGTCCGAGCAAGGCCTGCGACCCAGACCAGGACGTGGCCCGTGCTAGCGAGGCCCACCTTCCTCCCCCTCCTTGCCTATGTCCTCCGCATGTATGTGTTTCGACGCACGCACTGCAACGTTTCGTGGTCCCGTAGGGAGCTCCACCGAAGGCCCGAGCAGCAGGGTCCACATGGCAGTGCCGCCTCATTTTGAGCACCCCTCACGGTTCGTGGCCCCACGGGGAGCTCCACCGAAGACACCAGCAGCAGGGTCCACATGGCGGCGCCGCCTCATTTTGGCACACCCCTCACACGGTTCGTGACCCCATAGGGGGCTCCACCGAAGGCCCCAGTAGCAGGGTCCACATGGCCGCGCCGCTTAAGTTTGGCGCACCCCTCACACGGTTGGTGGCCCCATAGGGAGTTCCACCGCGAAGGCCCAAGAAGCAGGGTCCACATGGCGGCACACCCAATTTTGGCGCACCTCTCACACGGTTCGTGGCCCTACAAGGAGCTCCACCGAAGGCCCAAGAAGCAGGGTCCACATGGCGGCGCGGCATCATTTTGACGCACCTCTCACACGGTTCGTGGCCCCACGGGGAGTTCACCGTCGCAAAAGCTTCCGGAGCGCCCCAGATCGGCGGCATCGGCAGGAGGCCATTACAAGAATTGGTGCAATGTTCGGCTGCATGTCCTATTCATTTTGAACCGGATTCGCTGTTCATGCCGCCGCCAGTGTTGCTCAGTTGAGACAGTAGGCCGCCTGCCCGACAGCGGCCGCTGTAGGTTTTCGGCAACATGTGTTGTTGAGCATCGTACCCATTTTTCCGTACCCACTTCGGGCGTCCAAAACGGTTGGCTATCGAAGAAGAAAAACCACATGAACACAATTGTTCGGCGGTCCGCGCGGATTTTTCGAGTCGGCGCTGGACTTCCCTGGCGGCGCTTCCGGCGCCGCCCCTGGGCTCGGGAGGGGTTGGTGCTCCATCGGGCCACCTCGGGGCCTGTTCTCCACCACCACGACCAGAAGCTGGAGGGGGGAGGGAGTCCTCCTCCCCCTTTTCTCTCTTCCTCCTCATCCTCCACCTCCTTCCCCCCTCCAACTTCTGGTGTTACGTCGGGCCTGTCCCTCTACAGGGGGGATGTTCAAAGATAGACAAAAAGAATGCTCAGGGGATGATTTGTCTAGCATTGTTTTACCATTCGGGGCCATTTTTGGACTATTTTTAATTTGGCCCCCAAAATCCCCCTGTAGGAGGACAGGCCCGACATAATTCTGGCGGCGGTGGTGGACAACAGGCCCATCACACCTACTGCCAGGGCACCAGCAGCCGATCTCGACCTGGCGTGGGTGGCCAACTCGTGCCGAGGTGTTCTCCCCCTCGCGCGGCGAGCCCTCGACCCCGCTGGCGAGGCGTGGTGCGCGGCATTTCCCCTTGCCTCGGGATTGCTGTTTTCGCGCAGCCATTCTTTAAGTCGGGCGTGTCCCTCTACAGAGGGAATATCGGCGTCACCCCAACATACTATACTATGTGTGCGTCGCCCCCCCAGGGGCGACGCGCGCACCGAGAAATCTTCTGGTATATGCGTCGTGGCGGGCGCTTTCTGGCCACACCGCTCGGGAAACGATATACTACAAGATGCGCATATGTTCGGGTCGGACGCGCGCCTCCAAGGAGGACGTATAGTATTAGTATGTATCCGTGCGTCCCAGAGTATTCAAAAATAGGCAATCAGTAGTCTGGGGACGATGGTTCGAGTGTGTTTTGGGTTTTTGTTTGTTCATGTTTGGACTAGGTTTTATTCTTCGTCCAAAACCCCCCTGTAGGGGGACAGGCCCGACCTAAAGCTATTCTTGCCTGCCCGGGTTTAGACCCACCTTTCCACTGGCGCCTGGAGCACGCACCACACATGTCCCTGAGTGGCAGCCGATGTACCCAGATCCTTCGCACCCTCGAAGTTCAAACGTCGCTAGTCAGGAGCGGCGGTGTGTGGTGCAAGTGCCTGAATGTCATACAGCCAGCGCCACGAGCCATACCAGCAGGTGTACCCTTTGAGAGTTTCCCAGCCCCTCGCTTCGCGGTGGAGCACCTCAAGCCACGTAAGTGGGCCGAGCATGTGACCCTGACTTGAGTATTAGCCAGGTGTGAGTCCTCGGCCGCCTGCTCTGGCGAAGAGGCAGTTGGCAAGACGTCGAGGCGCCGGGCATTTACGGTGGTTTCATCAACTCTCAGCATATTCCTTCTCCTGCAACTCGTCCTCGTCCACCTTACCATCCTCATCGTCCCCATCATCCTCCGTTTTCTCTCATCTCCATCTCATCCTTATCGTCAGAATCACCGTTAAGATCAACCGAATATGGATAGTGAACATCCTCAGCATTTCAGTTCCAGAGGACAGGGGGACGGTACCCAGCAAAGGAAGGCATCATCCTAATCCTCCTCGTCATCGTCCTTCTCCTCTTCCTCCAACCCCCTCCTCCCCCTCCAACCTCCTCCTCCCCCTCCTTCTGCTCCTCCTCCTCCTCCTCCCCCTCCTCCTCCTCCTCCTCCCCCTCCAATCTCCTCCTCCCCCTCCTCGTCCCAGTCCTCCTCGTCATCGTCTTGTTTCACCAGCTCATCCTTCTGCTCGTGTTGCTGCCCCGTCTTCTCCCCCCCTTTTCGTCACCAGACGAAGAAGAGGACGAGAAGGAAGAGGACGAAGAGGAGGAGGAGGAGGAGGAGGAGGAGGAGGACGACGACGACGACGAAGGGAAGAGGAATAGCAGGAGCAGGAGCAGGAGGAGGGAGGAGGAGGAGCAGGAAGATGAGGACGAGGACTAGGAGGAGGAGCAGGAGGACGAGGAGGGGGAGGAGGAGATTGGAGGGGGAGGAGGAGGAGGAGGAGGGGGAGGAGGAGCAGGAGGAGAGAAAGGGGGGGAGGAGGAGGTTGGATGGGGGAGGAGGGGGTTGGAGGAAGAGGAGAAGGACGAGGACGAGGAGGAGCCGCAGGACGACGACGACGACGGCCCGCACGCGCGACTCGCCGGCAGGCCAGCGGCGGAGAGGGCTCCGAGTCCTCCAGCTCCGAGGAGGACGAGGAGGAGGACGAGGAGGCCCGGCTCCCGCTGGAGGACGAGGAGGACGAGGAGGAGGACGAGGGAGGAGGAGGAGGAGGAGGAGGAAGAGGAGGAGGGGGAGGGGGAGGAGGAGGACGAGGAGAAGGGGGAGGGGGAGGGGGAGGGGGAGGAGGAGGAGGAAGAGGAGGAGGAGGAGGACGGGAAACAGCCGGCACTTGCGAGTCGCGCGGCCGGACCCCCCTGGCCGGCCGTTCCCAAACATGCAATTGCAAGCCATCGCGGGTGATCCTCCACCACATCGATAAAAAAGAAAGATTAGATACAGACTACCTCTACAATCCGTTCACCGATGATATTCGAATCGTAGAACAAACGCATGAATTACCAGCTGAGGCTAAACCACCGCGGAGTATAGCGGCCGCCGCACGACCCGTGTCCAAGGCCGAAGCTGCGGTGAACCAAGATGCCCGTAAAGCATTGCAGACCGAATGGGATCGGTTAAGAAGCATCGGCACATGGGATGGGTCAGGCGTGATGGAATACAGCGATGTTGTTCGACAGCGAAAGGGACAAACGACCCATTTCGGACGCCTGTTTGCCATTTTGGTAGGAAAGAATTCAGTACTCCCGAACGGGCACAAAGACCGCAAATATAAAGGCCGAGTTGTCTTTGATGGATCAGACGTTAGAGATCAGAATAGAGACGTGGTTTTGTTTCAGGAGCTTTCTAGCAGCCCAGCCACCATGCAAGCCAGCAAGGCGGCAGAGACTTATGGCCTATGCGAGGGGAGTGACATTCAACAGGCGGATGCCAAACAGGCTCACACTCAATCCAAATTTCGGGGAACTCAAACATGGATTTTCCTGCCAAGATATGAATGGCCGTCTGCTTGGAGAGACATGCACAATCCTGTATGTCCTTTGGTTCTCTGCCTTTACGGACTTCCTGACTCTGGTGGATACTGGGAGCAGCATTGCGAGGGACACGTGATTTCCAAAGGAATCATTAAATGCAGTCCTTGAAGTAGTTGTTATTTCCATACAAAACTGCGCTGGTTCTCATTATTTATGTTGGCGGTTTCAAATTGTCTGGACCAAAAGCGAACCTTGTAAAAGGGTGGCGCCTCTTACAAGAAGCCTCCGAAGGCTGCCCTAAGGGCATTGACATCGGCCCACCAACTAATGTAGGGCGTTATTTGGGTTGTGAACATCACCTGTCTACGCAATGCGTTGAATAGCACGGGGAGCTACCAACCGTCCTTGATCCCCCACCACCGAAGGTGAAGAAAACGCCCACCTCCTGTCAATCGCCGGAGAGCGATGACGAGGAATCGGGGGGTGATTCAGCGGCACAGCCGACCTGAGCCATTCCAACCTAGACAGTCGAAAATGGTCAGAGCCATTGAGTACGATATGACTGAGTACATATCCTGGTGCTGGTACCCCTTTTGGCCCCGAGCTGACTGATTTTGAGGATGGACAAGGAGGTCCGAGAGGGAAAAAAAAAACAGCTGAGGAGGCCATAGCAGTTGCACTCGGGATACAAGTTGACACAGCTTCCCCCGACAAGCCTGTCGAGGTTCCCGGCTTTGCCGCGGAACCCGGCCCAGATGACCCTGAACCGCCGACACCGTCGGGGTTTTCCTCAGCCTATTGCAGCAAAAGTTATCATGAAGATCTTATATGGTGCGAGGATGGCTCGGTTTGATTGATTTCGTGCGGTCTGCATAACGAAATGGACCGAACAACAGGACGTGGACCTTTTTCGCGTGATATGTTACATCAAGTCCACGACCCTATACAAAATGACGTCGTGGGCAGACGACAAAATGGAGGATGTCGCGATCTGACAGTACTCTGATGCAGACCTTGCTAGTGACTTACGAACGCATCGCAGCGCGAGTGCAAGCCATCA